TTGGCGCGCGGAGGGACAGCTAAATTCAACGCTATCCAAGTCCCTGTCGCCTCTGTAGTATGTTTCACTCGCTATTCGATAACCGAACCAGTCTGACAGTCGTGCAGCTCTACCTGTACCAAATACACATATCCCTCATACTATACGTCCGAACTTCCGCTTAGGTTGTGGGGTTGTGCCTCTTTGCATTCGGCCGGTCCACCCAACGAGCAATCATTACTGCGAAACCTTGTGGTTGCACGACCCGAATCCGTCGAGCAACGCAAATTTCTTGCAGGTAGCTGGACAGCCTTGTTGGCGCAAGTAGTCGCAGTCCAGCTACTGAACGGTGTTTCACCTGCATCCGCTGCACCAAGAAATAGCCTTCGCCGATGTCTGGTGACGAGTCAAGGCGGAGCGAAAGCAAGGTTCGTGAGAGGGTGCTCAAGATGACGTCGATGTCGGCGTAATGAACATCTCGTAGCTCCAGGTGCCGAACCTGTGGGCATGCACGGACGACCTCAAGCATTGCGTTGCGATTCAGCGCGCGGGGACTTGGATCTTGATCTATTCGATCGCCGTATGGCCCATATTCATACATCCAACTGCTGCACAGGCTGAGATGGACTATTTGATTGCACACAGTCCGTAGTGCACTAACCGCACCTCCATTGCTGACTGGCGTCGTCAAGCTACGCAGATTGGAGATGCTGCCTCTCAGGATGGACGCGAAGAGGTTGGAATTTGTGCAGTTCCACCCCATGCGTGTCCATCGAAAACGCCTGAGCCGTGGCAAGTCGACATGCAGCGACTCTTCCGTATCTCCCAAGATTTCGGACAGCGTCAGGATCTCCAGCCGAGGCGTCAGGAAGAGCAGAGATGCTACGGTGAGCGCATGGATGCGATTTAAGTCGAGCACCTGCAGGCATCGATATGTGTAGGGGTCGAGTAGACATGGCGGCAACGAATGCCCGAACGCGATCACCGCAGGCGCCAAGAACCGGGGCAGGCTCGAGGCGTGTTGCACAAGGTGCTGCATGTATGGCCAAATGGAGTCTTCTTGTATGCGCACCAGCCAAGGAAGATTCATATGGAAAGGTGAAGTACCGGATGCTATGGCCAGCGTTGTCTCGAGAGTGTCCAGGTGCTCCAATAGAGGTGACACGAACGAATAATCAAGCGAGACTTGGAGCTGGTGCAGCATTTTCTGGAGGTGCTGAAAGAAGAAGGCAAGTGCGAGAACTGCGACGCGTTGTCAATGCCAAGTGTCCGTGTGAAGATCATCGCCGACGTCCTATTGCAGGCTCGAGCGGGAATCATCGTGCTCACCTGCCCAGGCGGCTCTTCCGACGCATACCACTCTCTTCCTCTTCCTCATTGCACATATCTTTTGCCTTCCTACGAGGTTGAAAGTAGCGGAGATGGGCGCTTGCCTCTCGAGGCGAACGCGAAATCATGATGCGCAAGTGCAGGAGGACATTCCAATTGTAGTCATTGCCGATCGCAGCCAGCCACAGGCGATAGATGGCCAGCAGGGCCAAATACATACTCATATTGACGGTGGACGAGATGGTCCTAGATGCTTCAAGTCGATCGGGTCAAACCTGCAGCAGGACCTGGGGAGTCAACGCAAGAGGCATCGTTGGAGAGGCAGCTTACTTTGCACAATGTCGCTATACACCCGATGACATTGGGCGAACTGAACCCGAGGTTATTGTGGTTGACCAGCCCGGCTCACACGAGGAACACCTTATCCCGACCTATATGGTGCTCGCCGGTCATATTGACTTGGGGATATTGACCAATCTTTACTTGGAACCAAACATGACACATGGTCTTTCCGCTCTTGTACTTGCCATACCTGTCAATTCCAACGACAAGAATGCCCTGCGGCGCATATCGGAGGCCGTGGAACTCTGCACGGCGCTCCGTTACATCGAACTCCTGGAAGCCGTTAGCCCCATACTCACGATGATGTCTAGAGCTATGCGCACAGTGAAGATTCTTGTTATCAAAGGTTCGCGGCCAAAGTTGAGCGACGGACACCTGCACAACTTGTTTCCCAACCTGACGTCGCTGATCCAAGGCAATCATGTGCCGCATCCCTACCTGCCATGCCGACCAGCATCCACCCTTATCACAGCTCGTGTCACTTCAGACACAGCAGACTTTGCTCAGGCCCTTGTACGGAACAATCATCTGGCTACGCTCGATATATGTCTCCGACCGGTAGTTAAAACAGATGCACGAGCAGACCTAGAGCGGGATGAGAAGCGGCTACTTCAGGTTCTCAAGCCGGCTCGAGCGCACCTGCAACATCTCAGAATCAACTTTTCATCGGCAATCATCTCTAACCGGACTCAGATCGCGGAGCTGGCCGGCTGGATGTCGTACTGTACGAATGTGAGGATGCTGACGTTGCGAGGCGGGACGCGCAACTGGATGCCGGATCCGATTCGGGCGCTTTCTGGAATCGTGGAGACTTGGGACCTACAGCACGGATCCCGTCTACGGGAGCTTTTAGTCGAATGTGATGTGTCTCATTGCCGCCAGTGGGTTGGCATAATCAACAAGGAATTGGCTCTTGCTCGCATGTGGGACACTACGGTTACGCAAAATCTGGGTCGACCTGCCGGATGTTTGAGATCATTGCGCATCCTGCGGCTCCTGATCAACATGCAGGCGGGGAGTATTCACTTGGAAGAGTCTTATCTGTGCTTCATGATACACGATGTTCTGAGATATCAGTGCAGGCGTCGCCGAATCCGACTTGTCATTCAGTTTGTGCATAGCGCGTAGATCATGTGCTGCTAATTCAGTGATAGCCGGCATCTGTGCCGAAAATGCGCTCCCTGGTACTGTATCCTGAAACGATCACCTGCGGAAGCCCCCATTTGCATTTGATGGGTGCTCGAGATATTGTATAATCGGCAGATGTCCCACGTGCCAAATCCGGAGTGTCAATTAAATGCTGTGGCATAACCAGTTACTGTGGCATGCCAGGTTGCGATCAGTCTGTTCCGTGGAGGTACGCTCAATCATCTCAGTAACCTGCTTGCATATAGGTCCACTCTGTGGCCCACAACAGTCAATGCGTGCTCCAGTGAGACTGATAGCACTGAATATTGTGCTTCTGCTGGCAATTGTCTAATCTCTAACAAAACTTTCGCACCAGACTCATCCTGCTTCTTGAAATACTACTGAGAATTATGAACGAGCGCACGCGCTTGGCACATTTTGGAGTACTTTTGCGCCTGTCGGGGCCAACGTATATAGACAACGGCATCTGTAAACATACAACGTGAGAGCAGTTCACATGGTCAGCGTGGTAAACGTGGTCAAGTGCTAATACCCACACACCGAAGCTGGACAGAAGCGCGGAAGCCAGGCCGGAGTTGTCTAGAAGAGATGGGCCTGTATGATCCGTTTGCTCTGGCGCGATTCTACGATCCCACGCGAGGCACGTGAACAAGTTCGGGCTTGTCCCGGAGGTGGGAGCTGCGAAGATGGATCACCTAATTGAGTGTTCGGGGATACATGGACGCCGACTGTACGCAGACCGACCCTCGATAATCTTCGATCATTCAGCCCGGCAGGCAAAGCGACAGTAGATCGGTAATATAGATTTGAAATGCAAAGAATATGCGGTGGCTGGGATGCCGCGCAGTGGGAATGACGTTGGCGGCGGTGACCACCGTGGGAGCGGACGGCCGGTCGAACGTGTGAATCCCGAATGGCCAAGGGATCAATCGTTCGATTCGAACCGCGCGCTGTTCTAAACTTGTCCTTATCCACTCACGCACAATGTCTCGTACTTGCTTTTCGCGGGCAATTGAGCATAATCCTGTCCACGTCGGAGACGTTAACACGCTCGAAAACTGGCGCCAACTGCCGTTGTCGGTGCAACCAGCGCTCCGTGCGTTCACTGCCTCCAATTTTCCACCAATGGACGTCGATCTGGGTAGGCTGGAGCATGAATTTGCACGAATGTGTCCTGAGCTTCGGGATCTGGACATCATGGCTGGGTACGGTACGGCACCTGGTACTCTTGCTGCAATTTCACGTAGGCAGCTGGGTTCCGCTGGGTCAGCAGCGGCGTCAGTTGTATCTGCACGCCTCGGTAATCTTCCCGGCTGGTTCGCGCGTGCAGTGTTAGAGGTATGTCCTAATTTGGAGGCCATTGCGTTCGGTCCCATGCCGTTCTGCAGCGACGACAATGATGGTACCCAACAAGGAGATGTTGGGGTGTTGCGACTGCGCCAGCTAAAGCTGTGGGATGGCGGGACGTACGATACCCCTCTGTATGGCGAGGTCCTCGCAGCCTCCATATCTTCACTCCGTGTCCTCCAAGCTAGTCTTGGTCATACGCGGCTCCATGCCGCCCTACTTGCAGCGCAAATGTCAAACCGCATCACGTCCCTTCGCCTTCAATCCCAAGCAACCATACAGCGTATTGATGCAGACTTTGCCGATGGCGATTGGGCTGCGCTCAGCCTTCCGTGTTGGTGCCAGCTACCGAGAAATAGGACAATCTACAGCAACGCCGCATCGATTGCCGCAGGAATCCTGTCTTGCTGCCCGCGGCTGCGTGAACTGCACGCTGCCGACTTTTTGTCCAGTCATCTCTTCATCCTGCTTGATGCCGTAGGAAGACAGACGAAACTGCGGGCGTTCAGCGGGTACTTGCATACATGCCCTAACGACCACAGCATTGTCGAACGCAACCTATTGAAACTATTTTCCGACGGCACTCATCCGGCATTGAGCTCGGTGAGGAGGATTGAGTTGGCTGGAGACTCGGGACTGCGGTCGGAGGCGATGGACGCTTTCAGGCCGCTGTGTGCACGACGACGAATCCATTTGGTCGTGATTGGAAAATGATGTATGAGCCAGCGTTGCTCGCGCAAATCACTCGAGCACTCTCTTATATCTTGTATGTCCGTGGTGGCAGAATGAACACACGACAACGAGTTCTACGTGTACAACGAATGAGTACATTGCGGTCGCAATAACGTCCGTCAGCCCGGTTAGCTCAATCGGTAGAGCGTGAGACTCTTATCATAATTGGACATCTCAAGGCTGCGGGTTCGACCCCCGCATTGGGCTTTTTGCCTTGCATTCAAGGCCTAAATACATCCAGTCAAGCCAGCTGTAGTCTTCTTGCTTTAGATAAAAACCATCAACATTCTCTCAGTTTGGCATCCACTGCATGTGCAAGATGCCGATGGACTGCCTCCGAAGGGTGGCCGGTATCTACGACTGTATAGTCAGAAAGGCGTCTTTCTGAATCTCGGTGTTGATACGCACCGTACCAGAAGTACGACCAATCATCGCATTGACAAAACCTAAGTGCACCATGAGCGTTCAAGTCTCGTACGGCATGTGGTACACACCCAGTGGTATTGGTGAATCCCAACTGAGCGGCGTTGTCGAGTGCCCAGTCGAACCACGCGTGTGCATCGAACTGAACAACGATTGTTCCGTCCGACTTGACTCGGTCGGCGAATAAAGTCGCTCGGCGGGCGAGGGCATCATTGTACTCGGCGGTCCGAGCACGGATGAGGACTTGTGTGGTCGGGTTGTTCAGGGTGCCCGGTGTGACGTCGCGCGCGTTGACGTTTAGAAACAGGTGTGCAGCAGGTTGGACTGCTGCCTGCACCTGGTCCTACTCGCTGTCAGTTGGAATGAAGAACGGAACTTGTTGGGGATGGGCGTACGACTGCACCAAAGAGCGATTCCATCTCGGATCCCAGAAGGCAGGGAAGTCGGTAATGGTCCTGTTATTGACGACATCGCTCACGTCGTTGATCCCAATCCACCACACGATGAGTGACTCATCGGGCTGCTGCCTGGTATATCTTCAGCATGTAGATGAAGCGGTAGCTGGGAAACGTTAATGTACTTGGGAAGAACTGGGTCCGCGTACGCGAGAAACTGCTCGACCTGGCGGACAAGCGAGGTGACGAAGTTGGCGTGCAATGGCAACTGCTTCACATCGATGTCGGCTCCAGCAAAGGCAAAGTCCCAGAGTTGTTTTGGACAGTCAAATGGAGAACCCTGATAGCATCCGGTAAGGAATTGCAACTGTAGCGGATTCGTAAGTGACCATCACAGGGCGGAATGCGCCTCTGCATGTACCCAGTTGTTGCCTCCAGAGCTTGTCTACGGTGCGCGACATAAGCTAAAAGGCTGTGTCCTGTAGTTGGAAGACTGACGACGTTGGGCAAAATGGTGTTCGTGAGAAGCTCTTCTGGCGTGAAAGCAAAATTGATCTCATCGCCAATAAACCTGCGCTCGTTAAAATCCCGCTGTTATTTCTACGCAAAGCCACTCACGTGAACTTAGGATATCCACGCAGTCCGCCAACGAAAGAGTAAGAGTCGCCAAAGGCGTAAATCGCTTTTACGCGGTCCCATTCGAATGCGCGCCGTTGTGACTGTCCGCTAATCGCACCGACGACGCCAGCCACGAGGATCGCGATGAATATGCGTGCAACCATGGCGGGCTTTGGATGTTGATAGGTTTGTGGGTCGTTGGCACCAAAGAGCTTTATCGTCTAAAATGTGTTGGTGAGCTGGCACCAATGGTCGCGTGACCCACGGATGCGCTTCTCCTCGACGCCGGTCTTGATGGGATCACAAGGGACGTGGAACCATGGTCCGAATGGTGCATTGTCCTATATTGGAATGTAGAAGCAAGAGCGTATGAAGGCTACTCTTTCGAGGCCAAGTCTCGACGACGGCTTTGGCCAGATCGACAGTTGACCATCTCGGGTTGAACATGAAGATGAATAAGCAGTGTGAGTACAATTTCCCTACACAGCATGAACGTTTTCGAGAAAGATAGTAAACTACAACTCGCTGAGCTGCTTATCGATCGCCTCGGCAAGGTATCGGTGCACTGGTTCAGTTGGATGTCCAGAGTCTGTGTAGTTTGAGGGAACGTAGATGGTCAGCAAGCGAGAAGGGAACAAGGCAACGTTAGTGCCTGCGAGAAAACAGTCGACGAGTCGGACGCACTGAGCCAGAAGTATGAAAAGTCGTCGCATTGGCAGAACCTACTCATTCATGATCAGTATTTAGTTCAACGGCTTCTTGCTACAACCGTACCCAGTGACGTTCTTGAAGCCAAGGCTTTCCGCGTTGTCCAGCGCCCACCCGAACCACTCGTGGGCGTCGAACTGCAGGATCCGTGATCGTGTGCCTTGTTGAAAAGCCGCGGCCCGCGAGGCCAGGGCGGCGTTGTACTCGTTCGTACGAGCCTTGTGCAACTCGATGGATGTAGGATTACCAAGGCTGCCCGGCGCGCGGTCGCCTGGTGGTACGTTGAGGAAGAGGTGTGCGCCTGGCCTAATGGCCGCATCAACTTTGGCCTTGACGGGGAAGAGTGAGTTACCATGCAATAGAGTCAAACCATCGCTATGGAAAGAAGCAGACAAATCGCATTTCAGACAGAAGGAAGCACAAGCACAATGCTTATGGAAGAAGTGCAACCACCATGCTGATGGACAAAGGGAGGATGTTGGGGAGGGAGCGAGACACATTCATTACTCACAACCGCCCCAAAGAGGGAGTCCATCTCGGCCTCCCAAAACGCTGGCCAGTCCGTAATGGTCTTGTTGTTGATGACATCGTTTGTATCGTTTATCCCAATCCACCACGCGATCAACGTCTTCTCCGAACGTTGTCTATAAGAAGAGTTAGCAATGAAACAAGCTCGAATAAGAAAATTGAAGGTCGATAGTCGCGCTTCTGCGGAAGGTTCATAGACAACTTGGCGGATATGGTTGTTGTTCGCGTAAAAGTAGAATGTGACGGAGAACGGGATGAATTATCCGGGTCATGGTACTCACTTGGGCAGAACTGGTACCGCGTATGTCAGGAACTGCTCTACTTGACGAACGAGCGAGATGGTGTAGTCGTGGTGCAGGGGTAATAGGTTCGCGTCGATATCTGCGCCGGCGAAGGCGAAGTCCCAAAGCTGTTTCTTGCACAAGAAGGGCGAGCCTTCGTAGCAGCCGGTTAAGAACTCGAGCTGTAACAAGAATCAATGGTACGTCACGCTTGTGCAAACGAGCAAGCTCGGAAACGTACCCAACCTGAACCTCCTGAGCTGGTCTACACAAGATCTCAGCCACAAATTCAGCCAACAGAAGCAAAGATTGACTGACATTCTTCGGGATGATCGTGTTGGTAAGCAGTTCGGACTTCGTGAACGAAAAGTTGAGCTCGTCGCCAATGAAGCTGCGGGTACGTGAGTGAACGGAGCTTCTTGAGTAGGAAAATTGGCGGCACCTGTAGTTCGCATGCCCACGCGCGCCTTGGACGAAGGTATAGGAATCGCCGAAAGCGTACACTGTTTTGACACCCTCCCAGTAGCGACCTGGATGCCTCGTCCTTGTTGCTGTCGCGGTTGCGCCAAGCGTGCATACGAGACTGGCTAAGACGGCGCGCATTTTGAAGAGTAAACTTGCGACGCCACGCGCGTGGAACGTCTTGACGGGTTTATGTATGTGCTCATGACGCGAGTTGCGCTGGCATCACGTTCAGGACGTGCAACGTGACCCCCCTTCTCGCTTTGACGCTTTGACGCGTGTGAGTCTCAACGGAGACATTGCGCCGGCCCGCGGGTCGAGTGGCCCGTGCGCATGATCACTCGGAGCGGTGCGCGTGCTTCTGGCCAAAGCAACGAGCGAATGGGCGTAATCCACGAACTTTCCCCGAACTAAGGGACCACCGCTTATAGCGGCTGATACCCGAAGATGCGAGAGATATGTACAGTGCGCTAGGGAAGATGAGGCGCAGTTGGGTTTGGACCAAACGAACACTGTTCCCAGGAGAACAAGGAGCGTTCAAGCCCCGACCAGCGAAATGCTCAAATGCAATGACCGCAACTTTACGCCATAGAGATAGACAAGCGGTTTCAGGGTATCTCCCATATCATTCAATGTGAATAAAGCGAAGTAGATGTATATTGCCTTGATCGCTGCCCGATGTCTAGCTCGGGAGCGATTTTGGAGTGACTGGAGGGCAATCCGATGTCTTCCATGAGCTTTTCCATCCAGAACGACGACTTCAGCTGTAGTATAATCTCACTAAAAGTGTTCGTATAGATGAGAGACAGTCGCCGCAACCTGCACGTCTTACCGACTATCGAGGGCAACGTGTATCCGCCCGTTTGTCGATGTAGACGTGATCCAAACCACACAACAGGGCTGGAAGATCGTAGAAGCGATGCATAATCTATGAGTTGGATCCGATGCCCAGTCAACCTGCACGCCTCCCGCAGATCTTGGTGGAGACTATGCTCAGCAGCAATCAGCCGGAGATTACGCGTACTTGGCCATCCAGCAAGTATGACATCTTTAACCCACCCGCCTGGGTTTTCGGTGTCTATCGCAAGTGACTGCAAAGGATGCATGATTGAAGCAAGAGTTGCAGCAACATCTGACGGATTATAACCCTCGAGATGCAGATGACGCAGGCGCCAACACCGCTGGAGAACCATGACCGTTCGTCGGACACCAGTGTAGCCTGTCAGAAAATGATTGCCAGGACTGAAAATTCCATGACCGGAAAGCCGCAGATGTTCTATGACATTCGAGTGATCCAGCACAGATATCACATGTATGGGTTCTACGTCCACGTCTATACCCAGACTAATCAGAGTGGTTCGGCAGGAACGAATGATTAAACCCAGGAGAGGCTGTCCATGACCGTAAAATGTGACCATGCGTAACTGTGGAAGGGCCAGGCTGCCCGGAAGAGGCAGCTGATCGATACCACGAGTATTAAAGCATATAATAAACAAGTACTCCAGGCATGGAGTATTCTCCAGTATTTGCTGAATAGTGGTCGAGTCGACGCGACGGATTTCAAGCCTTTGGAGGTATATCAGCCGAGGCAGTCTTAGTCCGGGGATATGTGTTGCTGTGTACCGCAGTCGGCAGTGAATAGCGCGCACCCGTATGCTTCTGGCGTGAGAAGCGCTACGTATTAGATTAAATATTCTAGTCGTGACCAAAGGTACATATGTCGCATAGAAAACTGAGTCCACCCAGTGGACCAGGTCGGAGGGAACGCAACTCAGGTCGGCAACGTGGTCCC